AGACCGCCTATGCATTAGCCGCTTTATTGAATACCTAGCAGACCGCCTATGCGTTAGCCGTTTTACTGAATACCTAATAGACCGCCTATGCACTAGCCGCTTTAAACAATTTTAAACAGTTCTTTTTTCAGGTACGTTTTCACACTTGCCACTGCGGCCCCCTGCTTCTTTTGGTCCTAGTAGAAAGGCTAGAAAATACTAGTAGCACCTGGCTTTCTAGTGGAACCGACGGTAAAATTACTAGGTAAAACCTTAGAAATAGGTGTTAATACACACGCAGTACCGCTATCAGCGCTCTGTGTGCAACAACTTCGTACATATAGCGCCAGTTTTGGCGCGGCGGAAAAATTACTAGCCACTTAAAAAGCCTTAGAAAGACAGACAAAGAAAACGCAGCAAAAGCAGACTAAGAGGGCAAGAAAGAAAGATAGGTGTAGTTACGAGGCCCACTTAGTTAAATGAAAGTAGCTCGCGAGCGGGACCTTTGTTTTAGACCGCTCGGGTAGCTAGCAATAGATAGGAGAAACAGAAGGAAAGGCATCAAGACACAAGTGTGTTGAGCGCGATTTCCTTCTGTTGCCCGAATAACGGGTGGGATAACAACGGAGGCCAGGGGGTAGGGAGGGGTGTCGTGTCTCATCGTTCACCGTGGAAACTTGTTTGAAGGGTCTCCTATTCGAGGCTCTTGTTCCAACGCATCCCCATGCCATGAAATGTGAAATTTCCGTGAAGCCCGGCGGCTTGGTGGCAGTTGATCCAGTAGTGAAACAAAGTCGGTTAAGAGAATTTAACGAACGGTGGAAACGGTGGAAGTAGAAACGGCGTTTCCTTGCGGAGGATCATGCTTAGTACCCAAGTGGGACGATTGAGCGAGTCACACTCTGACATTGGTTTTTAGTTAAGTCAATTCCCAAGTGGAAGAAAGGCGAAAGAACGGAGAGGCGATAGGTCTAAGCATTTGAAGATGTTTTAATAAAAGGTTTGGCTCCTATGCATTCAACGCTTTATTGAATATTTAATAGATCGCCTATACATGAACCGCTTTATTGAATATCTAGTAAATCACTTATGTAATTTTAAACAATTATTGTAGGCACATTTTTATACTTGCTACTGTCGGTTTTCGTGGGCCATAATAATAGTGGTAAATTTATGATTGTCTGCTTTTTTTGGTCTTAGTAGTAAGGCTAGAAATTATTAGTAATATTCGGCGTTTTAATGGAATCGACGATAAAATTATTAGGTAAAAACTTAGAAATAGGTATTAATACACATATATAGCGTCGCGATCGGCGTTTTGTGTAATAATTTTATATATATATAGCGCTAATTTTGGCGCGGCGGAAAAATTATTCTAAAATATGTATTCGTTTTAGTTAATATTTTTTTTTTTTAATATTATTAATGGTACATTCTATGGAAAATTCTATATTTTATGAACAAAGATTTAATAGAATTTATAATTAAACATTTGATTTCTGGGAGGGTTTAGTCAAGACTCGGTGTGTATACGTTTTTGATTATTTTAATTCTTTTTTGGTTTGGCCGCTTGGCCCGTATGGCGGCGCTTTCTTAAAAATGGATTGCCGTGGGGCCTGTGATTTGATTTTTCTTATATTTAAATTAAATATTTTTAAACGGTAATTTATTTTCTATATTTGATATTATATACAATTATGCTATATATATATTTATTTTATAATATATTTATAAAATTAATGAAATAATAAAATTTATTTAAAACAAAATATATTTCGGAATGATTATTATTTATATTTTCGGAATAATTAGTACATAAATATCAAGATTTATAGATTATTTTTTTTAAAAATATTTTATTTTTTAAAAAATTGATATTATTTATATATAATATATTATATATTATTTTTTTAGAAAATAATTTATATTTAAGAATTATTTGAATTAAAATTTTTATATATTTTGTATTTAAAGAAATGATTTTTTGTGAATATGATATTATAATATATTTGTTAATTATTATATTAATGACAAATATTTAAATTAATTTGAATTATAATAATAAAAGGAATAAATATGGGGGATATAGAAATATAAATTTTTATATGAATAATAATATTAAAAAAATAGATAATATATATATATGTTTTGAATATAATAGACGTATTAAGAAAACACTAATAAAATTAGATTAATACATATAAAAAAAATATAAAACTATATTTATATTTCGTGTCTAGCCCTTCTTGGATCTTCTTTTATGCATTCTATTTTTTTAAAATTATTTTGATTGATCTACTAAAAAATA